CTCGCCCCTCCTGGCCCAACCAGGTCTCCGTAATGCCCGCCAGGTCCGCCTTCCCCTCCTGAATAAGATCGTGAATGAGGGGGGCTTTATTAACAAAGGACCTGGCATTGCATAACATCAGCCGGAGGCTCTGGCCCTGAGAATCTGGACAGCCTGAGGAACGAGGAAAGCATTGGGGACCGGAGTGTGCAATCGCTCTAAGATAGCGAGTGCGCATTCCCCGAACATGATATGGTCCCCAGCTTCCGCCATATCTGCCCCTCCCACTCATATAAATATAAAACTTCTATTGCACCAAATATAAAACTATTGCACCACTTACACATATCTATTGAATATGGGGACTTTATGACAGGCTGCGGCAATATTGTGATTAAGACATTGCAACAAGCTGCGGTCATGTGATCATTCCTTTCTGGGTTTCCACAAGCAAAGTCAAAGGGGAAGCTGGCAGGGAAGGTTACAAGTTGTTTGTAGAAGCCATTCTCACCCATTTTTTCTCCCAAGGAGCCCTACAATGGAATACAAGAGAAAGATCCCAGAAATTTTGTACTCAATAGGGTAAACCTGTCTGCAACCCCCAACCGACACTCCTTAGCATCTGGTTACATCCACATAGCATCTTTTCATCTGCTCATGCCAGACCCCCATTGTTCCCCAGTTCCCACCCATGTTGGCCCACCTATTCTCCAGTACTACCTGTGGCCCTTGCCAGCCTGGCCAAACATCAGAAACATTCCTGCCTCTTGGGTAATGACCCGTACAGTTGTGTGGTGGCAACAGCATCCAGGACTGTTGGGATTGCCATTATTAAGCAATGCAGCCATATGACATTGCACTTTATGACATTATATAGCAACGACAATTCTGATCCAAATTTCTGTCATAATCTGAGGGCTACCTGTAATAATGTACTAACAAAAAATTGAAAATTAATTCTTTTCAGCTGGTGTCTTCTGTGCCATTGTCTCACATCCTGCTGATTCTGTGGTATCTGTGTTGAACAAAGAAAAAGGCAGTTCAGCTCTGGCCGTACTGAAGAGGCTGGGATTCACAGGTAAGTATCAAAATAAAAGTTTGTTTAAAAAAGAAAATCAATGAATGTTTTTGGTTACTAACACTGGTGTCTTTCTCATCAGGAGTATGGAAGGGTCTGTTTGCCCGTATCATTATGATTGGTACCCTGACAGCACTACAGTGGTTTATCTATGACTCTGTGAAAGTTTATTTCAAGCTTCCTCGTCCACCTCCACCTGAGATGCCAGATTCCTTGAAGAAAAAGCTTGGTCTTACTGAGTAGATGAATGATGGATTGAATGGCTGATGATGAAACATTGTGAAACTCTATTCTCATGGCAGTATAGGACAATGAAACATGCTTGGCTCAGGCTGTCATTGGTGGTCAAAATAAAGAATAACTAGAAAGACTTTGTTTCATAATTTTAAATCTGACAGGAGGAAATACTGTCATCCTAATAAAGAGAAACAACATATTTATGAAAACGGTCTTTTATTTACTAAGTTCAACCTTTAACCTTTCTAAATCTGAAAGGAAAGGAAAAGTGCACATATTTTAATTTTACATTTATATGTAATAATTTGTTCTAATATGAATTAAATGGTTTCGAAACAGTGATCTAAATGAGTAATCATAATCATGTATACTATCAATGGTGCAATACAACAAAATATTTTAATTAGAGAAACTGCTAAGGAAAAAACTACATTAGGCAGGAAAATATCCTATACCATTAAGGCTGTCACAAGCAAATTAATAGAGTAAGAATAAATTGCAAATGTATGCTATAAATATACCTGCTTCCAGGTTAGACCTACCTCAAATATTCAGTTTGAATCCTATGTATGAATCTATACAGTATCATCTACTATCAAAATATTTGAAATTAGAATATTTAAAATTGATTCTGAAGTTCAGAATTAAAGAGAAAAGTTACTAAGTTTTCAAAAGTAAATAGATAAATTTTGGAAACCATAAATATAAGATTACATTTCTTAAGTCAGTAGTCCCCAACATTTCAGCTTGCTGGCCAGGGGAGAAAGGTATGTTCTATATGAGTTGCAGGCATGTTCACCACTTGCACAAATGGAGCTTTGCACGCAAGCGCGAGCACCCCTTACTCAGGCAAGTGAAGCTGCGCTTGCATGGCCCGGTTCCAAATGAGCCGAGGCTCAGTAGTAGTCTACATTTTTGTTGAGGTTGGTTTGAAAGCATCTTACCATATCAAAAATTATGCCCATCTCATGTTAATGAATTACAACAGGCACAGGAAAATATTTTAATACGAAAATGCTTAAAGATGATTTTGTCTTAACCACTAAAACCTGAGTCTTGATTTTCACCAATGTTAAAGGCAACATTGCATTTTCACTAATTTAAAACTTGTAATTTCACTTAAATGTCTAATTCAGACATCGAGACAAAATTGCCTGTTTGAAAATTAAATTTACTATGCAGATTATTTTTTAAAATGTTATAATTTAACATACAACTTTATTAGAACAAAGTACTCTGATTTGTTAGAATTAAAATATTCTTAGATCTGTTCCTATTTGAAATAGTTGTTACTCAGTTTGAGTTTGAATTGAAGTTAAATTAGATAGCTTTTTATTCAGGAGAGCAAGTTCCTTCTGGCTTTCCAATAGATCCCCAAGTAGTCTTCCAATTCGCAATGTTAATTCATCTAATACAAGTAGCAAATGTGCCAAATCATTCTTTAAATTGTGGACTTTAGGTTTTAACTCATTTGCAAAGGCTACTGTTGTCCGAACTTTAGCTCGATCACTTTCCAATTCTAAAAGTTTATTGAATTGCTTGGTAAAGTCAGCTTTCAACTCAAGTGATTCTGCCTTAATGTGCTTTACTTCTCTGGTATTTTCAGATGCAATATTTTGTAGCTTTGTAGTCCTGTCAATGCTACTAGTGAGCAGATCCCCTATATTCTGTATTATGGCCTTTTCAACTTTATTTACTTTGTCTTCTAGAATTTCTAGATTCTCTATTAATAAGGATATATCTGTTTGAAGACCTGAAATGCGTCTAATGTCAGTCTTCACATCTGCAATTTTTACAGAGATGCCCTTAGTTTTTTCCTCGTGTTTAGCAACTGCATCAGAGAGAGATGTTAAATTTTGCTGGAGCTCTTCTTCTTCTTGAATTAACCGACTGGATCTTATCTGCATCATGCTAATTTCCTTTTGCAGATGCTTCATCTGAGGAATTACATTAAGATCTTCCAGTTGTTTTGTCAAAGTTGGTACCATCTGACACTAAAAAGTAAAAAGTCTGATAATATTATATTGAAATTTAAAATGTTCATATTTCCTGCAATGAAAAATAATTTAAAATTCTCCAGTTTTATCAGAAAGCTGTCGGAAAAGGAGAATATTCTTAGATGTTTTCCTTAGCTTATTAAATAAAGAATAAGGTTTGTGAGCCTTTTATGCTAACATTATAGAACTTGGATATCGTGGTTTCTGTAAAAATTATGAGAAGCCCCCGCTGACTGTTGTTAAACATTCTTCATGTGATTTCCAGCAAGTATCACTGCACCATAGACCAGCATAAAAGCAATTTGGCATCTTTTTTCAATTTTACTGGATTGAGAGTGAGATAAGCGTTTAATTTTTAAAAAGCATAAAATTAAAACACACACATAAAAAACTTAATAATATACTTAGCATTTCTTCCAGCTATTTTTTCCCATGGTTAACCCTGTGATGTATTTTGGGATAAGAGAAAATGCTTGGACCGAGGTCAGGCTGTGAACTACCATGCTACTTGAACCTTGGTTTTCCTAGTCTCAATCATAATTCCTTATCTATTACACTAGACTGGTTACTTACCCAGCTGCCTCATCTGTATCATAGAATCAAGCTTGACTTGTACATTTTCATGTACAGGTAGTCCTTGCTGAAAGTCCATCCATTCAGCAACCATTTGGAATTACAATGGCATTGAACAAAATGACTTACACAACATTATTGAAGTTCTGATTATTGCATTGCACCTAGTCACATGAACAAAATTCAGACCTGCTGGCATTTATAACTGCATTTTGAGCACATATTGCCAGCTGCCACCACCACCCATTTCTGCCCGTCCATGCACCCACTACACAGTACAATATTACTGTACTAGATGGGGTCTTTTTTTTATGCCGCCCTCTTTCATACCAGTGCTGTTGGGGTTTCTCTTACACCTTGCCCAGCGTCTCTGCACCTTCTCTGGGTGTCAATTCACATAACCAGGCCTTATTTTGCAAAAAAACAAGATCTAGGTAGAAGGATCCTCCTTTCACGTCTCTGCCTTTTTAGAGAGAGACTTAATGAAAGGAGCCTTCTAGATGGGTACTTTTCTGAAAAAGACCCTGGTTGGTGCACAAATGGAGGTACTGAGTAAGGCATGAATGGCAGTCCAGGTAGGGAGCAAGAGAAACCCTGGTGCAAAAAGTGTGAAAAAAGGCCCAGCTGGTACAGTGATGGCACACAGATTGGCAGGCTGCAGTGGGTGGCAGGAGCAACTGGTTAAGTAGGCTGTTAACCAAAAGGGGAAAAGATTAGGGGAGATAAGCAGGTGGGGGAAATTCAAGATGAGGCAGTTTCTTATATTATCTAGGCTCGAGACTGAGAGGGACCAAGCTTGGAATGGTTTGGCTAATGACTGATGGGATTCAGTTAACAAGTAACGGGCCTACTAGGATTGCTGTTGCTAAGCAGTATGGTCAAGTGATGTCACACTTTACCACTGCAGCATTTCAAAACAGAAATTCTGGTTCCAATTGCCATTGTAACTTGAGGACTACCTACACTTTTCTTTGGCAACATACAAGAGGTTTGTAATCTGCTTTGTAGAATTTTCCCCCCTTTTCCTAGTCTTTTCACTTCCATCAAAATAAGTCTCATTCTCAACTTTTTCAACATGTCAGAGTTGTCAACTGATACTATAATAAGTTATTAAATTCAAGCATGTTAGAGAATGATAAAATTTCAAATACTTTATTGAGCCTATCAAGTTTACCATCAGTATCATTTTGCATTCTTTCACCAAATTAGACTTGTAATTCTTAAGAAAATGGGAATCATCCCGGTCCTCATGCGTAATTTGTACATAGCACAAAAAGCCACCATCTGGATGGGCTTAAGAAACACCAACAAGCTGCACACAACTGATGACACTATTCTGATAGCTGAAAATATGGATGATCTGCAAGTAATCTGATTCTTTCTAATAAAAGGAACAGTGAAAAAATTACTGTAATTTATAAAGAAATCAAAATAAATATTTAGAATGTGACTGTGAAAACATTGAGGTAATAGATAATTTCTGCCTTTTATATCACTAATAAATAAACCAGAATTTATATATATACACACGCACACTGTGCAGTACTTGATAAGGCAGCAGTGAAGGCCTAGGAAAGATACTCAAAATGCCAGGATGTATCATGCAGGCAATTTTTTCCCCTGGTCTAGGGAAACGAAAGTTGGATCTGAAGTAGTGTAGAATCAGTACGGATGCTTTTGAATTTTGATGTGAGATTAGACTCCTGAGAATACCATGGATAGTGAGGAAAACAAATGGATCATACACAAAATCTCTATGAGAGCTCTCACGAGGCACAAATAACCATACTAAAATTATCAGCTATTAGATATTTTATGCAAAGATCTATATCTCTTAAGAAATCTATAATGTTGAGACAGGTGGAAGGTCAACTTGCAGCAAGAGCTTGATTACAATGGCAACTGTAAGTCCTGAAGAATCAAGTTCATGACAAATCATTCTGAAGATCTTTGTGATCGAAACTGAAACTGTGACTCAATAACATATAACCAAAAAGATGAGCTTAATATTCACCAAATTATTTGCAACATGTCTATAAAAATATATGAGATGTTTCCAGTATGAATTTTAACAATTTTAACAAATCTTCTAGTATTTATTTTCTTTGTATACATGTGTCTCCCAAAAAAAAAAAAGATAGCCAAAGAAACATTAAGATTATACAGCTGCCAATATCAATACTGTTCACACTATGGTGGGCTTGTTCTGCTACTTTTGCAAAATCTTTAAGCTTTGCTTGTAACATTAATGGTTGATTCTGTGATATTAAGATGCTACTTCATTTTTTATTCAGCTATCTTCAGATTGCATGTCTTCAAGAGTATTCTGTATGTTCATTATTTCAGTAGTAGCTTTCATTATTTCATTTTCTACACTGATTACCTTTGTGATCATGTCTTCTTTTTTAATCTCTGCAGCAACAAGCTCACTTGATAGTCTAAGAATGGAATAAATAGCATTTTCGATTACTGGTAAATAGGTCTTGCATTCCTGCAGTTTGTGTTCAGAAAATACAAGTTTCTGGTACAGATCATTACTTCTGACCAAAAGACTGTTGTGCTCTTCTTTTAATAATTCAGCTGTGTTTTTATCCAACTGCAGCTGCTGTTCAATCCTTAGCAGTTCAGTTTCCTCTTGCCCATTTAATGTTTTAAGATTCATTATTGTACTGTCTTCTAGATCTTTCAGTCTTTCAGAAAGTTTTTTCAGTCCCTGATCCATTGTATTGATCTGGGAAATTATTTCACTATGTAAAATCTTGGTATCCAATCTTAAATTGCTGGTATTTGTATCCATCTCAGACGTGCTCGTCTTCCAGGAGTCTACCACTTTTTGAAAGGTTTTGCTAAGAGTCTGAAACTTTTTAGAACATGCCCGTTGACTATTTTGAATATCCTCTATGAAGTTATGAAGGCTAGACACTTCTTGCTCAAAATCGGTTATCATGGAAACATATGAAGCAGCCTCCTGCAGGACGCTCGAAGATGCAAACTGCATTTTTAACACAAAACAATGTCCATCTTCACTTACTGTTTGCAAGGTATATACAGTGTATTTAAATTTTATCTGACTATGAACCTTTGAATGGCATGCCAAAAGCAAACTGCAAAAGGACAGAGGAGAATTGAAATAATTTAAAACATTAAAACAAAATAAATACGAAGCAAAAATCATTACTATTTTAAAAGAAACAATGAAAGAAACAACAAGCTAGTGCTAAGTACAGAAAGGCAGATAGAGTAATAGAACTAATAGGGCTACAAAGAAGAGAGTTTATATTAACAGTGTGAAGGAAGAAAAATAAAAGATATTGTTTTTATTTTATAATATTTGATTATGGCAATTACTCCCTGAAACAAACATTATTTCAAAAGACAAAACTGATGAGCAGAACACAGCTGCGTTTGGAAGCATTCATGGTCCTAATCAGTTGACTATGAATTTCCAAAAATTATTCTTAAAACCATACTGAAAATTTCAGATGCTAGATCATTCTAAACATGCCATTAAATCAGATTTAAATTATTATGTAGTAAACTGTTCACAGTGCTCTTGGTGGGAAAAATTGGAAGAGTGAGTGCTATGTACAGTGACTTTAATGAAAGGCAATTTATAGATTTAACAAATAATATATTACTGATTCAAATTGACGCTAGCTAAATTCAGTGGAAGTTATTTCTAAATTAAAATAGGATTGCAGGTAAATCAATTTTTATGTACACTTACTTTTAAAAGATCCACTAAATCCAATGGCATTTACTTCCAAGTAAGTATATATAGTATTACAGTCTTTGGTATATTTCACTATTTAGATTTCAATCAAATGATTGATTTGAATATTAAACTTAATTTTCAACCTAGATGTGAATAGTTAATGGTTCAACAGATTTTCCTTAAGACTGTAAATGTCTGATGCAAAGTATATTGCATATTTCAGATAGTAAAATACCAAGTTTTATAGTAATATCTACAATATATGAATTATTACCTTTTCAGAGATTGTGCTAATTTTATTTTCCATATCTTGAAACTTTACAGCTTCCTCCTTTAATATGCGATATTTCTTTTCTACAGCAGCCAACTGAACAGACTGTTGAAAAAGAAACCTGAGAAATGCAGAAAAATAAAATGTTTAGCAACAAAACATTTAAAAGTTAACTGTTGCTTCCCCAATTTTAGGATAAATTGCAGTAACAATTTAACACATCTGCACAAAAGCCTATATAAGGAATTGTTTATAACCTAATATCCAACAAAAATATATAATTAAATGGAATTATGATGGTTTTACACAAATCAGAAATGTTTTTGCTGATTATAAACAATAATTTGCTAATTGCTACAGATGGGTGCATTAATCTACAAAAGCAGGTTTTCAGAGGTGCCTAGAGAAAGAAAATTGTAGGAAAATACTGATCAAATGTCAGCAAACAAGCTAATCCAGTCATTATTAAGTACAAATATTTTTATTAACACCTGCTTCTGCTGTTCAATTAACATTTAAATCTTATTTTCAAGAATAGTGATCAGCTATGAAATTTGACATAAATAACCAGATAAACTGACCTCTGTGTCAGTTTATCTGGTTATTTAACTCTTTAGACAGCCTACCTCTATACATATAACACTAGATTTTTACTTCCAAGCAATTAAAAAAGACTATTTCATCTTGACTTCATAATTGAATTATAAATGTAACATTTAACATAAGTACAAATTGAAGATTAACATCATGTTATGAAAAGGTTATTTAAATCTAATTTTTGTTGTTGTTGTTGATGATGATAGAAAAGTATGAAATAGAGTTGACATTCCTGGGTGTATTTGTAACATGAAAAAATATTCAGCATTACTAGAAAATTGATCAAAAATGTAGGACTGCAGTTCAGTATCTCTAAACGTAAGATCATGTGGTGGGGAAAAAGAATCTTCCGCAGAGTACAGTATTTGGGGCACAGTGTTAAGCAGAACAACAGAAGAAAAAGATTTAGGTGTGCTCATAACAAATGACTGCAAAATGAGCAGTGTGGCCAGGCAGCTGTGAAGACAAACAAAATTGTGGGATACATCACTAGAGTCATCACTAGCAGGAAAAAAGAGGTCTTTTCCCCACTATACAGGCCTTTAGTCAGTCCCCATTTGGAATATTGTTTCCAGTTCTGAAGACCTCACCTAAAAAAAGATATGGATTGAGTGAGTCCAGAGATTGGCAACAAAAATGGTGCAAGGTCTGAGGGACAAAACATATCAGGAGAGATTGGACAAACTGAGTATATACAGCCTGGAGGACAGAAGGAAGGTGGGGGGGGGGGCATGATTGAAACTTTTAAATATATTAAAACACAGGAGCATAACCACAATTTGACAGGAGGGAAATTCAAAAGTAATGTTAGAAAGTTACTGCACAGAAAGAGGAGTGGAAGCTTGGAACCAACTTCCAACAGAGGTAGTGGTTCCAATCATCAGTAACTGAGTTTAAACACTCTTGGGATAACACCTCCATCATACGACAAAAAATTAAAAATAAAAATAAGAAAGAGAACACAAAATCTCAAAGGGCAGACTCAGTGGACCTCTAGGCATTTTTCTGCCATCAGTTTTCTGTTTCAAAAAGCTGACCACCCAGCCAAAATCAAGAAGTAATACTTTTGTTGTCTTTTCCCATTGGCTCATTACGAGCCGTCAAGAGGAGTTGATTCTTAGCGATCATGCGAACAGTATTTCACCAGAACTGTACAGTATCAGATTTTCTGTAATTTTGCTTACCATGCTAGCCCTAGACTGGCAACAAGAGATAACAAACTCGAAGCTGTTTGCAGATCCATCCTCACGGATTTGGTACTCTTGACAACGTCTTTCTTTTGTTCATCTTCGTTTGGCTTGGAAATGTTTCCTTTCCTCCGCTTGACTTCGGACATGTCTTGATGCAGGATTCATGCACTGAATTGAAGAAGTGTGTTAATCTCCTAATAGTTTTTCCTCCAAAGGAAGCTCCCTACATTCCCCACACCCTGAACTTTTATCTAGAAATAAATCCCGTTTAGTTAAACACACACTTTAGTACCTCCGCAATAGAAAGTGGAAACACTTGAAATGGTAACCCTCCCAATCGTACTCCAGCCCAGCGCCCAACTCGAAGTTTATGGGAAATTCCTTCGCCACCGCCGCTCCGAGATGGACCGCCACGTCCAAGCGCATGCTCGGCGATGCGCGCCCCCTCCCCTTCCGCCATCGCTTCTTTTCGCGGGGCCCTTGCTAGTCAATGTAGGCGGATTGCGGGGGGGGGGGGGGGGAGGGAGGGGTGACTGACGAGATGAACGCGGCGCGAGCGGCCGGGAGGCGCGCGCTCGCAGGCTGCCACAGCGCTCTCTTTGCCTTTCCAGGCGCGAGCCGAGCCAAGACGGTGAGCGAGTGGCTCGGGCACGAGACGTCGGCTTTGTTCGCTCGAGCCTCGTGGCTGCCGGGCGGCGAGCCGCTCCGCTTCTTCCCAGCTCCCTTTCCCCGAGGAAATTTAGCCGAGGCTCGCCTCTGCTTTGCCCCGCCCCTCTCGCCCTTTGCCTCCTCGGTTCGCCTCGCGAAGGAGGAAGTGGCTGCTAGTTGCCGAGTGCCCGTCCCGGGGGCAACTGAGATGGGATGAATTCAAGGCTGAGAGGCGCCAACCAAGGGCTTCATCTGGGTCGCCCCCTTCCCTTCACACGAACACTGCTCACGCTTCAGGTAACCGTGCAGCGAGCCTGAGGGCGGGGAGTCGGTAGACGAGAGGCAACGAGAGAGAGGGAAAATAAAAATGAAAGCGCGTTAAGGGTGGGTTGGAGAGGTCAGGGGCCATCGAGGTAAAAAAATAGTACGGGCTAACTATAGGAGCGGAGCGGACAGTAGAGAATTTAGCAGCAGGATGTCACCTTTCCTTAAATAGGTTGATCGGGAAAGTCGCCCTTTGTATTTTCGGTTTTAGTTTGGATAGAGCTATTCTGCGTAAAGAAACGGGTTCTGTGTTGAAAAAATCTACTCCCGTATTTTTGGAAGGCAAGTGGTGTCTTGGATATTGAACATTTTAAGTAGCATGAAGTAGTGTAAAGTGCATGTTTGAAGTAGAAGCAAGAATTTTCCTCCGTCGAATATTTAACTTCCTGAAATTAGTCGCGTACAGCAGTAAACACATCTGTACAAGACAGTCCTAATGAACTTCACGTAGATAATCTCCAAGTTAGTGTTTTGTTGCATCAAATTTGTTGATATGTCTCTGATAGGGGCAAATTAAACCTACACAATCATAAAAACTTACAACTCTATCCTCTAGATGTCACTTTCTCTCTTTTTATTGACCTAGAACAGGTTTAAGTTAGGGTATTGTTGAAGAAATAAATTTTTATGTTGCATACATTTTTCAGCTAAATAGTCATAGTGCAAGCAATGTAACAGTATATGTTTTATGTGCAATTTTGTGTAATCGGAGTATATCTAATTTACTTAAACTATCTTTGTAGTTCTGGTGTTTGATAATGTACATTAAAATATGTGCAGTTAGGTTCTAATACTTTGCGCTTAAATTTTAAAATGTTACTGCATATTGCTTTAACTTGCTGTTATATAAAATTTGTACTGAATACTGTGCAATAGCATATTTTATTAATTTATATTGTTTCCGTAAACCTGTTTCTGTGTCTTAGGCTAAGTAGTATTTTGTGTTAAACATTAACTTTCTGATTGCGTTTATTTCTGAACCTTGCTTCTTATGGTTATAAACTTTGTATTTTATTCTTATATATATGTTTTTGTATAGTTTTATTCCTTTTAACATTGTAAACCCCTTGTGATGAAATGGGCGGGAAACAAATTTAATACAAAAATAAATATTTTTATTTTTCAATTGTAAATACTGTATATGTGATATACAGAAATGCAAGGATATCACTTAAAGATATCAAACTAGACTCTTATCTTTGTTTAAAGCAAATTTATACTTGAAGTTAATTTACTTTATATAATTTGTTAAATAAATGCTAAAATACTTTGGTAAGAACTGCATCTAAATCAGAGCGGATTTGATTTAAACCGAGTTGATTTAAATCATTTTAAATCATGATTTAAATCACTAGTAGAAACACTTGATTTAAATCATAATTTTTAAAGAGCAACCGTTATTTCTGTCCTGGAGCGGCTCCTCTGACCCGCTGTTGATTACAGCAGTGACACAACAAGGTGAGAGACATGGCAGGTAATAGGTGAGTGGATACCTGCTAACAGGCGCTGCCATGATGGATCTGAAATGACAGGTGTTTTTTAATATTATATTTATAAGCTGCTTAGAACGTTTCACTTTCATTTTTACTGCTTGCCCTTCCTCCTCACACTTAGAGCCTAGTAGTACAGATGCATTTCTCTTCAAACAATCATAAAGTTTGTAGTGTACATAGATTTGCAAAATAATGGGATAAAGGAATATTCCTGAACTTTGTTTTATAATTTATCTCATAGTGATTGTGAAATTGTGTGAATGCATCAAAGCAGTACATGTTATCTCAGTTTGCAGAGCTTGGATTCATTAAATGAGTTTACCAAAAATGTAAAAATTGCAGAATAGACAGGCTCATGCTACATAACTAAGCTCCATTTCATGTTGAATAAACTAAATTATTAATTATTATTAATTAATAATAAATTATTAATCTTAAATTTGATAAAAATAAAAAATCTGATTTAAATTTTAAAAATTCAATTTAAATTTTAAAAATTCATTTTTTAAATTTTTTTTGAAAAAATCAATTTTTATCCACTTGATCTAAATAAAATATTGGATAATGCATCTTAAAAAATGTCTGATCAACTGAATAATTTGTATATAGGTAGTCCTTGACTAATGACCCCAAAATTTCTGTTCTGGAGACAAAATTTCTGTTATAATTTCTGTTAAATTGATAACACAGTTGTTAATTAATCTAGCTGCCCCATTGATTTCACTTGTCAGAAGATCACAAAAGGTGATCATTTTTCACTGTTGGCTAGGTATCAGTATTGAAGTCCAAAGATAGCTGACAACTGTTCAAGAATTTACTGCAAGTTGAAATACTGATTAATGTTAGTAATCCAAGGTTCTGTATTATCATTTTAAAAGTAACATATAAGTAATAGTCATACATTATAACTGTGAAATTTTCTGTGTCTTGGTTAGCTCATAGGATTACTCAGCTAAAAGGAACAATAAACATGGATGAAAGAGCTAGAAGTTATTTGCTTCAGAACCGCCAAGCTTTGGAAACGGATATCAAGACATCTTATATAATGGATCATATGGTTGCTGATGATACCTTGACAGTGGTGGAAGAGGAGAAAGTAAAAGCTCAGGTTATTAAAGGTTTTTGTCCTTTTGTTTATGTTAGAATAGAAATATTGTTAATACATAAAGTTTTAGAACAGAGGGGCATGATGTGAGACTTGAGGCTACACGTGGCTGCACCCAGATTTTTGGTATAGACTCCAGGGATAACCTATAACCCCTCTCACTCAAGGGTGTATCTCATTCTAAAACAAATATTGCTGTATACAAGGGACTCAGAAGATACAAGAGCAGAAAAGTACTAGTAATTATTAGTCTGTTAATGTAACAACAATTAGCAAAATAGGGGTTAGATATAATAAATATTGCAGAAGTGAAATAGCAAATAATTACAATTACATTTTCTAAAGTTGTTCTAGCTTACATTTGTATTAATATAACAGCTTGTTGAAGCTGAGTATCAGAATGCTTTTAGATATTTTTTGACAAAAAATATCAGTATTAAAAATATATAGAAGTTTAGTAACAACATTAGGTGGGTTACATATGAAATTAGTTGCACATTTCCGTGGGAATTAAGTAGGAATTTATATTTTTACTTTTCATTAGGATAATCTTTTTGGAGTAGTTTTACGTATGTCTTCTCAAGACGTGACTGGTCTATAATTCTAATTAAATTATTTAATTACTTACTATTATTTATTACTTACTGATCTGGTATGCTGCTCCAGTCTTAAATTGATAGTAAATAGCATTCATACCTGATGCAGAATTAAAAATAAATATATACAGGAACTATCTTATCAAAATGCCCCAGGAATCACTAATACTTGTCTTATACAATATCCCCCCTCTGCAGCAGAATTCAAAGACAGACTCCCTGAATTAGTAAATATAGAATAGCAGCTATACCCAATAAGTAATGGGTTGTAGCTTTATAATAACTCTTAATAGCAATCAAATTACATCTAAGTATATAAACAAAATAAATATGCTCTGTTTGAATCAGTCATTATAATGTAGTGATCAAAGTGCTAGACTAAGACTATGGAGATCTGAATTATGTCTAGCGTAATCATGATGCTCATAGGGTGTGTTTGGATCGGTTTGTCTCTTTCAGCCCAAACTACTTAATAGGTTGCTGTGTGAGGACAAAATTAAACTGCATTCAGCTCTTCAAAAGGGTTGATTATACATCTTTCAAATAAAAAGCCTTTTCTATATTGTTATTCTTTCAATTTTCCCACTTTGAGGATTGCAATTCTTTAAAGAGGTTACCTTTTTTTTGTTGTTGTTGTTGCTTTAATTTATATGCCGCCCTTCTCTGGAGACTCAGGGCGGCTTACAATGCGTTACGCAATAGGCTTCATACTTTTGTATATTTATACAAAGTCAGCTTATTGCCCCCACAATCTGGGTCCTCATTTTACCTACCTTTGAAAGGATGGAAGGCTGAGTCAACCTTGAGCCTGGTGAGATTTGAACTTGCAGTAATTGCAAGCAGCCGATGTTAATAACAGTGCTTTAGTCCACTGTGCTACCAAGGCTACCTTGCCTGAATATTTTTGACATACAATTTTTTTTGGAATTAAGGCTTTATAAACAGTTGTCCATATAAGAACAATTGTATGTTCAGGTGAAGATAATATATATATATTATGTGCTTAATAATTATACTAAGAAAAATCCAATAATCCTATAGAGATCTGTGAACATTCACCTGGAAGTATATTCCAATGTTTTTTTAAATAATGTAGTATTTGTCATATTTTCTTGATTAAGTTTGATGCATCAGTCCAGAAAAAAAAAATCAAGTGCATACTGAAAGGGTTTCTTTGGTACACAACAATAAACACTAATACAAACTAAAGAAAAGAATAAAAAGAAAAGAAAGTGCAAAAAATAAAAATAGAAAGGAAAGGAAAATTAAGAATGTTTTAAAGAAAATGAAAAATACAGAAATAACTTCTGTTTTCACAACAAGTATAAACAATTTTAGTAACATATCACTTTCTAGTGCATATTGAAATTGTAGAATTTTAGAGCTG